AAATCTTTCATTCTTTTACTTTAACCTGTATATTTTCAAAATGGCTTCTAATGCTGTCAAGAATGTTAGTTATAGAGACTATGATTCCCTTTGCAACCAACCTTTGTGATTATGATAGTTCAAGTTTGAAGAATATTCTACAACACCAAAAGCAATATCACAGAGCACAAATCAAATACAAATGTGATTTATGTAAGATGGTTTTGAAACTAAAGAAGCAAGAAAAGAGTATCGCGATAACGGTTTTAAATATGCCCACCCCTATACTATATTTATAGAATATTATATTGTTATTTATAGTTGTTATTATTATTTAGTTACCTTAAAGAATTTTAAATATTAATTTAAATGCTTATGTTTAGTTACTAAGGTTTAATTACTTAATATATTCATGTATGAATTATTGGTGGCCATCAATGATTTATATAAAATATATATGTTATGTTATTTGTTATGTTTACTTTTATGTTTGTTATTTTAGTTATATTCAATCTGTTCTTTCTTAATTTTACTAACAAAATAATTTCTGAAAAAATTATTGGGTATTTTATTAGAGACGAGAGAGAAACCAAAAATAGAGAGAACTAAAAAGAAAATATTTGTGGATACAACAAAGAAAAACGACAGAGTTGGTAAACAAAACAAGGAAGCTTAATTGAACAGGCTTGAAAACCAGGTTGTGGCAATGGACGAGGAGGTGCTTGGGGGTATCTTTGCCTTGTCAGGAAGCTAGAGAAAGTCTTGAAGCATGCTTGTCGATTTTAACTGACATAAAAAAGTCTTCTCTAATGTACTCTATACGAGAAATGTCATGAGAAATTTTTCAATAAAAAAAATTAGTGAAACACGCACACGCAAATAGATCAAGTTAATAAGAATTATATATTTATAAATTATTATTCCTAAATAATTATTGTCTTTGTCATTATTTATCAACTGCAAAACTTTGAGAAATTGAGAGCACAGATTTCGTACAAATGTTTGAAGTTGTGATTTTTGAAATT